AGGAGAAGCCAATGTTTTGAGAGTTTGAAACAAAATAGCTGGTGCAGCATTTCCCCATTCCGTCTGAAATCCTTGACACCAGAGGATTTACAGTGAAGTGAAGTGAAGTGAGGTGGGTGCTGCACCGAGCGAGCTGTGGGGGCTGAGTTAGCGGGGGTAGAATGGGTGGGGTGACGGGGCTATGGGGGCGAGGGGTACACGCGCGCGGGGGGGTCCACACACCACTCATGCTGACAGGGATCCTCCCTGTAGCGCGTGCTTTTTTTCCATTAGTTTCTTACTCAGTCTCTTGCCCTCCAGACCCACAGAGTGAGGAAGATTTAAGTGGCCAGTCAAGTGAAATCCCCAAGGTTTGGCAGGTGTGAGGTCTGGCTTCATTATCTACAGACACCTCTGTCCAATTATGAGCCTTGCTCCCTCTGTGACGATCGCGCTGCCGTATGTGTGTGTGTGTGTGTGTCTAGGTGTGTGTGTGTGTGTGTGTGTGACGGTCATGAATAAGCCTGCTCATTGTTATCTGTCTAACTATCAAGATTCTCTTCTCCATCATGAAGTCATTGTCAACCCAACAAAAAAAATGTAGCACACATTCACACATCCTACACACACACACACACACACACACGTGCACCCTCTTTTGTTTGGATTTAGCTCCGTACATCTGTCGAACCCCGAAATATTCAGTCCGTGGCCTCGTTTCCTCGTTTCCTCTGCTGCTCTACTTGGGAGGAGAAAGCAACACCTGAAACCTACTTGAGCAACGTTGGTAATAGTGAGTTCCCAGCAAACATAATTAGGACACACAAATAGCTAAAAGAGAGAGAGAGGGAGAGAGAGAGAGAGAAAGAAAAAAACACAATAAATTGAACCCAACTCTTTGATCCGAGCTCCGGCTGCTCTTGATGCATCTCTGTGGATTCTCTGTTTTGCTGACCCACTGGTTCCAAAATGTCAGCTGCAACAAACTGGAGCAGTGCCTTGTAAGCACGAGGGTCTCTCTCTCTCTCTCTCCCTCTCTCTCACATCCAGCCTCATTCTGGACACCCCCTGCCGACATTACAGCAAAATGCAAGACAACATTTCCTTTCTTCCCTTGCAGAACTACAAACAAAAAAACTCCTTTGACTCTTTGCTTTTATTTATTATATACACGTATATTTTTTTTCCCCTCTACTAATCTTTTTTTAAATCATTTCTCACATTTTTACACCACAGTGGTTTTTTTTTTTTTTTTTTTTTTTTTTGCTTTTTATTCTGCCCACGTTCAGATCTGAGATCCGTGTTGGGTTTGAATACTGTCCTTTTTAAAGTGTGCTGTTGTCTGTGGAGCCACACGGACCCTCTCTCCTCTGGTTAGCCTGCACTCATCTGCAGCCCTATCATCTGCATCACTTGGCAGATACAAAGAGCCCAGCGCTGATTTGCGTGTGAGCATGTGCGCCCCTTTTATGAGTGGCACGGCTGCACTCGCTTGCGTGTGCATGTCTGCGCACACTGTCTTTTTATGTGATAAAGTGCGAGCGCAGGAGGCATCTGATGGTTCCCAGACTTTGGCTCGGCTTTATCTGATGCTGCGATGGCAGCTGTTGACCAAAGGAATTCATACTCGTGTGTATAATTTATCTTACGGCTCGAAACAAACACGGGACTTGGGACATCTTTTTCTCATTGTGTTCACAAACAGAAGGTCAATACATGCGCGTGCTTTCCGGAGTCGCTTGATTAAAATTTGAGGCCTTGGTTATAAATACGGAGAGGGGGCGCAAAAGTAAAACACATCATATATCATTTTCTCAGAGCTGTGTATAAAAGAGGCCGTGACGACACAAACCTGAGCGCCGGCGCGGCGGCGCGTCACTGCACAGCACAACTCTGCCTTTTTATTTGCTTCCCCTTAATGATAATCATCTAAGGCCTGGCAGCAGAGAATAAGACTCCCCTGAATCACAAAGAGGAAAAAAATGACATGAATTAATAATGAGAAAAATTACTCAAACTGCACAACACGACCTGCCACAGCACAGAGAGCTGCAGGCCCTAAGGTGACAAAGCTAGATAAATATTTTACGTCTAAATATGATTTTGGGATTCTGTGCCTGCTGTCTGAGAATCCTGCCCAGATATTTGCAGCACACGGCCAAACCATTAAGAAAAAAAAAAGGGAGACAGAAAAGGAGAGAGAGAGAGAGAGAGACTTGGAATCCCTCTGCGTCTCTCGTCTGGACAGAGGCAGAAACTGTGAGATGGGGCTGGTGTGCAGCAGCTAGCTTCTGAAGGCCGCGTCTCTCCAGTGAAGTGAGCAGACGGCGTTCTTTGGGTGCCCTCAGGTGGAAGCCCGGTACAATTGCTGTTGACAACCTACAAGTCATTGTGCAATTAAAGCATCTGCCGCTCCTGTGTGGCAGCAGCCTGTGATGCCTTGTGACAGCTCGTAGCCATTAAGCAACTGTAAGCAGCTGGCGTGCCTCTGTGGGGGAAAATAATGTGACAGAGGCACTCC